TTTCTGATCCCCATATCTCATTTTCCCTTGCACACTGTTAATTCCACCCAGTTAACCAGGTGGAACTTCTTCTTATATTCACTACCCTTCTATAGAAAATTCCTTCTCACTGCATCCAGCCTCTTGATCACACTAGCAGGAACTAGAAAAATGGACATCATGTAGGAGGAAAGTGCATCCAGTACACTGTATATAAGAGTCAACCTACCTCCGCTAGATAAATATTGACTCTTCCAATTTGAGCTTCTTTTCACATTTCTCCCCCACTCCATTCAAATCCCTTTTTGATTTGCTTTTGGCACCCACGGGCATGCCAAGGTAATTGGTTGGAGGTTCACCTACTTTACCACCTAATTTCTCAGCCAGGAACTCCAGTTGAGTTACTTCATTATGGGGTATATGATCCTCTTTCCCAGTTAATGTGGAGTCCGAACACTACTTCAAAAATGATGAATATCACCCTCAGCATCAGAATTTGTTCCTCCTCTGCTTCACAAAAAACTAAAGCGTCATCTGCATACTGGAGATGTGTTATCTCCTGACTGTCTTCCACACCTGCTTGGAAACCTTTTATCCAACCCCTTAATTTTGTTGTGTTAAGCATGTTGCTCATTCCTTCCATTGCTAAATAAACAGGAAAGGAGATATGGGATCTCCCTGCCTTAGTCCCCTCTGAGAAGAAAAAAAAACACTTTGAGTCCTGTTGATTAAAACTGAGAACCTCACAGTGCTGATGCAATGTTTGATCCACATCATCCATCTTGTGCCAAACCCCTTCTTTGCAGCATGTGAATGAGAAAGTTCCAGTTCAAGTGATCATATGTTTTCTGGATATCCAGTTTGCATACCATACCTGGCTTTAGGCTTTTGTCTCTTTTCCACACAATCATTGGCAGTTAGGATTGCATCCATAATATCCCTTCCCTTGATAAATGTCATCTGCTGTCCTCTAGTCTGTGAATGACCTTCTGAACCTCTCTGACCGTAGTTTAGCAATGATCTTATAGACTCCCCCAATTAGGCTAATGGGTCTAATATTCCACTGCTCCCAGCTTCTTGGGAATTAAAGCCACAAAGGTTGCATTTATGCTTTTTTTCAAAGAAACCTGTTTCATGAAAATTCTTGATTGCAGCAACCGAATTTCCCCTGATGTTTCTGACTATCATCAAACAAAGTTTCTCTGATAAGAATTTTAATTGTAACTAAAACCTAGTGATGTGGTGACATGAAGTGCTAACCGACTGAATCAACTAGAGTCAAAAACGAAAACAAAAACTTATTTTTAGGCCAGAGGACTCATTCAACCTAATTGACAATTGTGAAGTGTGATCTGATGGAAAGAAGAAGAATTTTGTTAGTAGACCAACGGTTGACAACAACAATATGTTCTTGATATGAAAAATCCTCATTTTAGCACTTCATAAGAATGAGCACGATATGCATTCGTGGAGAAAATACAATCAACTAAATGAGTACAACGCATTACAAAGTTTCTGCATATACGAAGGGTTCATTAGAATTTCTGTCGAATGAGTTGGCAGATTTAGTCACAATCTGCCCCATCAATGAGCTAGCAGATTTGATTGTAATTTGCTACAAATAAGCTGGCAGATTTGATTATAATCTGCTGCTGTAAAATATGGATAGAATATATTATTATAGGAAAGTAGTTTTAGAGGAAAATCTCTTTGATTCAAGGATCTCCCAGGAATTAGGGATTGATTAGTTTATTTGATCTTACTTGTTCTCCTATAAATACTATACAAACTCTATGAATAAAAATATACTTTTGCAGTATCTAAACTTTCATGGTATTAGAGCGGGATTTTTTCCCATAATATCATATGGATCAAACACCCTTTCACGGAGAGCATCTTTCTGGAACATCAACAGAAGACAAAGATTCTTCTCTGGGAACTCCTACAGAAAATCTGATGACACAAGGAGGCTATGCTTCTGACATGCCCTTCCAATTAATTTCTCATCGATTGAATGGGAAGAACTATCTGGAATGGGCACAGTCCGTAAAGCTTGCAATCGATGGTCGTGGAAAGATTGGACATCTGACCGGAGAGACGAAAAAGCCGGGAGTCGGAGATCCAAAGATGAACTCTTGGAGATCAAAGAATTCACTCGTGATTGCTTGGTTAATAAATTCCATGGAACCAGTCATAGGTAAATCTTATCTCTTTTTTGCCCACTGCTAAGGATGTGTGGGAAGCTGTTAGGGAGACATATTCTGATGTAGAAAATGCTTCTCAAATTTTTGAGTTAAAAATTAAATTATGGCAAGGTAAGCAGGGTGAGAAGGAAGTCACTGCTTATTATAATGAAATGGTATCTTTGTGGCAAGATTTAGACTAGTGTTACAATGATGAATGGGAGTGTTCTGTGGATAGTGTAAAAGCAAAAAAAAAAAAATGAGACAGTTTACCTTTTTTTAGCAGGATTAAATCGGGATTTTGACTAGATCAGGTCACGAATCCTAGGAAAAAACCCTCTACCCTCACTTCGTGATACCTTTTCTGAAGTTAGGAGAGAGGAAACTAGGAGGAAAGTTATGTTAAAACCTGATTTACATGTTGAACTAAAATCTGCTATAGACTCTTCAGCTCTTGTAACAGTGAAGAATGAAGATGACAAAAACAAAAGACCAAGGTGCGATCATTGCAAAAAATATTGGCACACCCGTGAAACATGTTGGAAGATTCATGGGAAACCACTAAATTGGAAAAAGGGAGTTGATAATCGTGGCTTTCAATATCAAAATGGTCAGACCCTCCAAACAACTTACTTTGATCAGAGGCAGCAACCTTCTCCAAAAACGTCTCCATTTACAAGGGAACAACTGGAAATTCTGCACAAACTCCTTCAATCTCCACAATTTCGTCCAAATGCACCAAATTCTTCTAATCATTCTTGTTCTTTTCCTGCAAAAGGTATTGTATCGTCTGCTTTTCTTAGTGCCAATTCCAACCAAATAGATTCTTGGATCATAGATTCCGGAGCTAGTGACCACATGACTGCAAGTTCCCATTTTTTCTCTACTTACACTCTAGGGAACAATAAAGTCAAGATAGATGATAGTTCCTTCTCTGCAATTGCTGGAAAAGGAACTATTAAACTATCACCATCTCTCGCACTTCATGATACTCTTCATGCTCCAAAGCTCTCTTGTAATCTGATTTCTGTCAGTAAATTAACCCGTTCTCTTAATTGTTGTTCTATATTTGATTCTGATTTGTGTGAATTTCAGGAAAAGGTCTCGGGGAAGATGATTGGCAGTGCTAGAGAATCTGGAGGTCTTTATTTTCTTGACAACGGGAATAACTCACTACAACTGAATCCTATTTGCTTGAACTCTACTTCTGTTTTCAATAAAGTCATGCTTTGGCACTATAGGCTTGGACATCCAAGTTTTTATTATTTAAGACATTTGTTACCTCAGTTATTTAGAAATAAAAATCTGTCCTTGCTCCACTGTGAATTTTGTGAAATGGCTAAGCATCATCGATCTTCTTTCCCCTCTCAAAAATATCAGGCTTCAAAACCTTTTATGATGATTCATAGTGATGTTTGGGGACCGTCTAGAATTTCAACAATGTTTGGAAAACGATGGTTTGTAACTTTTATTGACGATCATACTAGATTGAGATGGGTTTTTTTTATTGAAGGACAAATCTGAGGTTAAAAATGTGTTTGAGACTTTCTATGTCATGGTGGAAACACAATTCAATGAGAAAATCAAGATTTTTCGGAGTGATAATGGTCGTGAATTTTTTAATGAACAATTAGGAAGTTTATTCAGAAAAAATGGGGTAGTACACCAAAGCTCTTGTTCGAATACTCCTCAACAAAATGGTATAGTTGAAAGAAAGAATAGGCACCTTTTAGAGGTAACGAGAGCTTTATTGTTTACTAGTACAGTTCCTCATCACCTTTGGGGAGAGGCTCTCTTCACTACCACTTACCTTATTAATAGGATGCCATCTCGTCCTCTTGAATTTAAAACACCTTTTAAAGTTTTCAAAGAGAGTTTTCCTAGTTCTAGGCTAACTAGAGACCTTCCTCTGAAAGTTTTTGGTTGTACAACATTTGTTCATGTTCATAATCGTAGTAAACTTGAACCGCAGGCTAAGAAGTGTGTTTTTGTAGGATATGCCCCAAGTCAAAAAGGATATAAGTGTTATGATCCACATGCTAGGAAGATAAATGTCACAATGGATCTAACTTTTTTTAAGTCCCAACTCTATTTTACTACTCATCTTCAGGGGGAGTATCGTGTAGGTGAAGATTTTTTTTTTGTGATATTGAGGAAACTAGACATCAGGAAAATGAGGAACATGATATTACAATAAATACTGATGTGAGGGATCTAGGAGAAGCAGTGTTGTAAAAAGCGCAGAAAAGCGCGCTTAAAGCGAGAAGCGAGGCGAGGCGAGGCCCCTGCGCTTTTATTTCGTGAAGCGAGGCGACATTGAAAAGGCGCTCGCTTCTACTGTAGAAGCGAGAAGCGCAAGAAAAGCAAAAGCGTAAAAAAAGCGCGCTTAATTTGAAAAAGCGCTAATTAGGGTTTCTTTTATTTCTGAAATCCTTATGCGACTTAATATACCTCTTTCGCGACTTCAAAATTCTTTTTTGGACTGCTACAAGACTAAGAAGCTGCGACTGCTCTTCTTCTTCTCTTCTTCTTCTCTGCTGCTGTAAGTTCTCTTCTTCTTCTCGTCTTCTCTTCTTCTCTTCTTCTTTGCGACTGCTCTGCGACTTTTTTTCTATTTTTGGTTGCTGCCAGGTTTGCCACTGCTGTAAGTTCTCTTCTTCTCTTCTTCTCTGCGAGGCTGCTGCGACTGATCTGCTACTGTTTTTGTTTTTTTTTGGTTGCTGCTGGGTGTTTTCTATATTTTAATTGCTGCATTTTTTTTTCCAATTTCTGTTTTTCAATCTCTATTACTGACCTGTTTTTTTTTCAATTAATATTACTGCTCTATTTTTTCCAATTCTTTTGCTGCTCTGTTTTCTTTTTATTTTTATACAGTGACTGTGATCAGTGATGTGTGTATGCTTGCTGCCCTGTTTTTTTTTATTTCAATACAGTGTGACTGCTCTGGTTGCTGCTCTTAAATCTTAATAGTCTTTATTTTTCTTACTTAGTAAATTTGTTGTTCTGTTACTAAGTGACACTTCTTTTTTGCTTGTAGTAACTAGTGAAGTTGTATTTTCTTATTCAAAATGTCACAAAAAAGGGATCCGGCTTGGGCGTATGGAACTCCTATGGGTAGTAACACAAAAGTCAACTGTAGCTTTTGTGATGTGACATACAATGGCGGAATATTTTGTCACAAAAAGCATCTTATCGGTTGCTATAGAGATGTAAAAGTATGTCCGAACGTCCCGGATAAAGTGAAGGAAGAGATCAAAGAATATTTGTTGAAGAAAAATGAGTTTAAAATTCAAATGAACCATGAAGCATCCATGTAACATCTTGTTGATAATGATGAAATGAATGATGATGAAGTTGAAGTGAATATGCCAATGGGGCCTCCCTCAAAGCATCAAAGGATGCCTTCAAGTAGTGGGAGTGGGTCTTCCATCAATAGCACTATCAAGGGTCCTATGAATCTCTATTTCTCGCAAAAACCAAACGAAAAGAGAAAAGGTGGACCTATTGACTTAGAATCTTCTAGAAAGATTTTGAGGGATCGTGTTGTATCTGCTTTTGCTAGGTGGATGTATGATGCAGGGCTTCCTTTCAATTGTGTTAATTACACAGAGAGTTTTGGTGAATTCATTGAGGCAGTCGGCCAATATGGCCCTGGAATGAAGCCCCCCACCTATCATGAGGTAAGAGTTCCTTTTCTAAAAAAGGAGGTGGAAAAGACAAACAAGATAGTAGAAGAACATAAGGTTCAATGGAAAACGTATGGTTGTTCCATTATGATGGATAAATGGACAGCAAGGAATGGAAAAATGGTCATTAATGTTTTGGTGAATTCTCCAAGAGGGAGTGTGTTCCTTGAATCTTATGATGCTAGTGACTCTTCTACCGATTCTAATAAGATGTTTAACTTGTTTGAGAAGACTATCATGAAGATAGGCAAGGAAAATGTGGTACAAGTTGTGACTGATAATGCAAGTGAGAACAAAAAAGCGGGTAACATGTTGAAGGGAGTGTTCCCACATATTTTCTGGACTCCTTGTGATGCTCACTATATCAATTTGATGTTTGGTGACATTTTCAAAGAAGCCCCGTATTCTACAGGTGAACTTGAGTCTTGATATTTAATTTTCTTTTTTAAACTTTATGTTAGTTTCTTTACATTTTAACTACCATTTTTTTAAACAGTTTTTGGTAAGGCAGTTAAGGTACATGCTTATATCAATCAAAGGGCATTGTTGTTGAATATGATGAGGAGATACACAAAGCAAAGAAATTTGGTAAAACCCGCCAAGACAAGATTCGCAACAGCTTTTTTGACTTTGTATAGTTTTTATAAGCAAAAGAAAAATTTGAGAACTTTGTTTATGTCAACTGAATGGAATGAGAGTATCTATTCAAAGGAAACTCTTGGTAAAGAAGTTGCAAGACACATCATTAGTCCATTTTTTTGGAATGACGTTGTTCAAGCACTTAGAGTTGGTGGTCCTTTAATTCATGTACTTCGTATGGTGGATGGGGAGAAAAAACCACCAATGGGTTACATTTATGAAGCCATGGACAGGGCCAAAGAAAGTATTGAAAAGGCATTCAATTATGATACAAGGAAATATAAGAGTGTTTTTGAAATCATTGATGCAAGGTGGACAGATCAACTTCATCAACCTTTGCATGCAGCGGGACACATTTTGAACCCAGGGCTCTATTATAAAAATAATGACATGAAGACTTTAACTGAAGATGTGTGGCAGGGATATCATAAATGTGTTGAGAGGATGATCCCAGATAAAAATTTGCAAGACAAAATAGGGGAGGAGCTTGGTGTGTACATGAAAGCGGATGGCCTACTTGGAATTGAATCAGCCATTAGAGCTAGAACCTTAAGGTCACCAGGTGAGAATTTCATCTTTTAATTGTGTTTAAAGCTTCAACTTTTAAGTTATTACACATCTTTTAAAATAACTCTTCTACAGTTGAATGGTGGATGCAATATGGTCATAATGTCCCAAACTTGCAACAGTTTGCTATTAGAGTGCAAAGTTTAACTTGTAGCGCATCCGGTTGTGAGAGAATTGGAGCGTGTATGAACATGTGAGAAACTACATTACATTATTACTAAATTAATAGGTATCTTAATCATCCCAAGTCTTCCTATTAATTCCTTTCTACTATGTGCAGATTCATAGTAAAAAGAGAAATAGGCTTGAGTTGACACGCCTCAATGATCTAGTGTTCATCAAATATAATAGAACATTGGCGCGTCGTTACAATGCTCGTAATACCATTGATCCAATTTTGTTGGATAGTATTGATGAGGCAAATGAATGGTTAACCGGAGCACCCCAAGATCACCAAGATGAAGAAGTGTATGAAGGAGA